GATTTGGTAGGGAAAGGCATCGCCCTTGGAGAAGGCTTGTTTCATGATGTTTTGGGGAGGAGAGTGGCGGCTAGTCTACTCGTCCAGTCTCTATTGCGGGAAGAGTTAGTGTGTGGAAATTCATTCAGAAGGACTGGGATGTTTTCTCTTCCCACACCAAACTCAAAGTTCGTGACGACAGATGTGTTCGATTTTGGGAGGATTTATGGTGCGATGACCAGCCATTATCTTGTACCTTTCCCAAATTGTACAGTATCGCAGTTAATAGACATGTCTGCGTAAACTACTGTTATCGGCTTGGTAGTAGTTGGATTACGAGGGACGTCACTTTTGGCGTTCTTTTCAGGATTGGGAGATGGACAAGGTATGTGTTCTCTTGGATTTGTTGTATCGGCAGGACGCAGTTGGCAGAGGTGGTGATGATCTTACATGGGTCCCCTCTTCCCAAGGTTGATTTAAAGCACAGTCCATGTTTCTATGCCTCTCCAACTTTGATGGCCTTGATTTTCCATGGAAGACCATATGGCGTTCTAAGGCTCCACCTAGAGTGGCATTCTTTGTATGGACTGCTGTATGGGGCAAGATCCTGACGATCGACAATTTGAGAAAGATGAAAGGATGAAAGAAACCCTATTTTCTTCCACCATATTCTCATTAGCCACTCCCTTCTCTCATCTCCCACCATATTCTCTCTCTCTACCCTCTCATCTTCTGCACCCATGAGAAACCCTATTTTCTTCTACAAAACCTGACTCTCTCTCTTCTCTAACCCTAATCTCCATTGATCACTGCAGGATCATATTTTACTCTCTCTACCCTCTCATTTTCTACACTCATGAGAAACTCTATTCTCTTCTGCAGAACTTGACTCCCTCTCTAACCCTAATCTCCATTGATCATTTTACTCTCTCTACCATAATTTTCGCATCAAACCCTTAAGAAATTCTATGGAAAATAAAAAATAGTAATAATTTCAGCCCAAGATAATTGTTTCAGTTTGCCAATGAGTTCTTCAAGCCAGGCCCACTAGTCAACCTTTTCAATCATCTATGGTATGGCAGCTATGCTTTCTTCTAATCAAGCCCCTACTGCAACTCTCTCTTTCTCTCTCTAGTAATTGTATAGCAAATCATTTGTTTCGCAACTTTCATTAAAGTTTTTTGCCGTCACTACTCAAGCCCTCTTCTTCCAACTCTCTCTCTTGCAGGTAATATATATGTACAAACACACATGTGTATATGAATCTCTAAAATAATTCATTTCCTTACATTCTATTGTTTCGTATTTATGCTTTTACAATTTTCCCTTGTTTTCTTCTTCTAGGGCAATTATCCACCACTTAAAACCAATTTTGGTTCCTTGTGGAGCTATAACTCCATTCAATCCGTAAAAAAATATTTGGTCTTGAGAAATTTCAGTCACGGTTCAGTAAATCTTGTGATATCTCAAGGAAAACCCAAGCTAGAAACCAACAAAATTGATCCACCGAAGAAGTAGAAGACGAAGAAGAGGTTGAAGCTGCAGAGGAAGAGAGAGAAACAGAAGAGAAAAACGGCTAATAAGAGAAACCAAGGCATATTGGTGTCAAAGGGAACAAAAAAAAAAAAAAACACAGAAGTTTGTGAATGCTAAGGAACATTTTAGTAATAGGACAATGGTGAAGGTTATTTTGGTCCATTAAAATTAGTTAGAAAGGTTAAATTGGTAATTTCTTGATTCAAATGTGTCAATTCACGAGTCAGGGCATTTAGTATTTAGGTCATTTTACCATGTGTCAGAGCACTGACACAATGTGCAGTAGACGGGAGGGAATGTCTCTGTCAAAGGGAGCAAACCTTGGGGGGCAATAAGACACAAGGAAGTTTCATCTAGGTGTAATAAAGGAAACCTCAGCGGGTAAGATGTCAGTGTAATTTACCCATATAATAACCTGCAAGGAGTGCAGATTAATTGAATTGAAACGGCAAAACAAGAATAATTGAAATAATTGAAATAAAAAGGCGTTCAAGAGGGGAACGCATCCCTTATACAAAAGTGGAACTAGAACTAGAGATTAAGATCCAAAGAAGCCAAAAAAAATAATTAAATCTTCGGAAGAAAAACAGGACTTCCTCTTCACATAACTGAAAAGAGAGAAAGTAGACAGAATAATCACTACATATTTTTTAAGGAATTAGTATTATGAGTGACATGTATGACAAAACTTATTTTAATTTATTTTAATAAAAGGTGGCAGAAAAAATAATACTTTGAGACAGATGGCATTGGTCTATGAAGCACGGACATGCGTGGTAGGGCTGACGTACCAGTGTCGGACACGTGTCCAACACGAACACGCGTGTCCCAGCCTCGAACACATGTCTAACAGCCTTCTACCGGTGTCCTATTTCTTTATTCATTTTTTCAAGTCGGACACGCCATAAGATACGGCCGAGACACGCCGAAGGACACGGCTGGTACACGGAAGACACGGGTGTAGGATACGGCAGTTCAGATTAATAAAAAAAATGGAGGGGATGAGAGAGAAACTGGAAGGGAGAGGGGAAATCAACAAAGAGATGATGAAGAACCTGATGATCATGCTCTAGTTGGTGTGGATCAATCGAAGACAGAATGAAAAAAGAAATCTCTTTTAATTGTTTGAGTGAAAATTTGTTTGCATATTCTCTAAAAATAAATCAATAGACGAAGGAGAAGGAAGATAGAAAGTTAAGAGAAGGAGGAGATGGCGTCTGGCCAAGAATTCCGATTCTGCTAGGGTCTCTCTCATCTCGGTGCGAACAGATGTCAACCAGAGGTTTGATCGCCTTTTTCTTCCTCTGTCAGTGGTTATTGGTTAATAAAAGAGGAATTTCATCTTGAAGAGAGAGAGTCAGTCAAACTTGGGAAAGAGGAGATAAGATTGTAAACTTATCTTCTGTGTTTGGTTACAAAGTTAAAACTATTCTAGTATTGATACAAATTCTAGTATTGGATATAAAGATATACTACATATTTATTGTTTGAATTTTAATAGAATTTGGATTGGACTTAATTTAAATGGATCATGTCTATTAATGTAAATTAAAAATTAAGAGAAATTAAAATTTTATATATAATAAAAATATATATTATTATTTTATTACCGTATCTTTGCCGTGTCTGTGTCCAATTTTTTTGAAATTTGCCATATCGCTGTGTCCGTGTCGTATCGTATCCGTGTCCCGTGTCGGTATCCGTGCTTCATAGGCATTAGTTTTGGATCCCAGTGTTGTCCTTTTGATTACACTTCTTTATTCTTTTGGGTAAATGAGCGGTATTGTAATTTAATGGATTGTCTTTTGGTTTTTGTGGATAGCTTAAAGCTATAGTGGCGTCTTGAACGGCTGTTGTCTTCTTGGGAGCACTTCCCTTTTGAGCGCCTTTTATAAAATCTTATTTATAAAAAAAAAAAAAAACAATTATTATTATATTATTTTTTTTTTTGAATGTTTAAATGGCAATTTGTAGTAACATAATTCTAATTTTGAGCTAATTACAATTTTGTTATTGCAAACTACACCCCTATGAACAGAATAAACAAAACATATCAAGTGCTAAACTTTAAGAGAAATGGGGCCATTCACAAATCACAAGTGGCGGCCTTAAGCCAATGCCTCAGTGGCCAATGGCTTGGGCTGGCCCTGAACAAAACAATGTGCATCAATGCTATAGAATGGATCACGCTTTACTCCTCCCTAATAAGCACAAGACGGACAGCTACACCATGTTACCCAAAAAAGAACTTGGCCTATCACTAATATAACATTTTTCCCAAAAAGATTGATCAGCTATTGTGAGTCCATCATTATTGGGCAAACGATTAGCATAACATCTCCTTGGATTTGGTTTAATACTAGTGCACAATCACTAGTACATTTCTATAGCACTCAGCATGCATGTCACCATTAAACAAATTAGAGCTTGTTCTACGAATTTACAGTGCCTACTGAATCTATCAACAGTATGACAATAGCTTCATCATATGATTTTCAACCATTTAACTACAATGCACTACCCCTTTTTTTTTTATAAGTAAGAATGCACTACCCTAAGAAGCACAGATGCAACAAAATGCTGACACAACACGTCAAATCATAAAAAATTAAGATGAGAACACAGCGGGGACACGTTGACTAATAAATATATGTTTTCATATTTGATTCTGTATTTTAAGAGTAATTTCATTTCCATCAACCTAACAATGAACATTTCACAAATCATAATAATTAATGAGCTATAAAGATAATCAGTTTATCATTTAACGAACGACACAATAAAATGTACTCCACAACAACAACAATAATTGTTTTTTAAACCAAAATTTTTAAATATTTTATGTCATAAGCACCATGTTATTAAAAATGTTCAGAGTAGTAATCATATTTACACTTCTACCCATCTTTTTTTCCCCAGTGAATGGGCGTATGTATTATTGATTAAAAGTAATATGGTAGAAGGATAATCAGTGAAGACATACCATCACAATGAAAGCAATACAAGAAAAGTAAATACGCCTCTAAAGAAGCTAGTAAAACAAATTAGAAACAGAAGATCAAAACCCATCTTTCTTTTTCCAACTTTCTTAAAACTCCCTAACAAAGCAACACGTGTGTCAGACAGGTGTCCATGGCGTGTCTGTGCAGTGTCTAACGTGTGTCAGTGTCTAACACGGATTTTTTGACGCTTTAGGTGAGTCAGTGCTTCCTAGGCACTATCATCACCCCACCCAAAAGAAAAAAACCAAATTTTTTCTTGAGATGTGGGTGTCTACACCCTTTGGAACAAAAATAACTGAACTTTATCATCTAAAGTTTTATATAAAAAGCATAATCTCTGGTTTAGCGCCTGCAATACTATACCTTTAAATTGTGGGGCTCAAATCGTTTATCAAATGTTGGACTTCACACCTCTAGAAATTATATAAACACTTGTGCTCTCATAAATTAGAGAGAGAGAAAATCCAAAGAACAAAACTTTACCTTTGGCGCGATTAGTTAGAGCTTCACAAAGCCTCAAGGGGTGCTGACGCTCTTCTTTCTTGTATTTCAACTTAACTTGCCTACGTGTCCGATCAGGGAAAAGTTGCTGTATCATTGATAAATCTGTACCAAACTGCTGCACAGCCTAAAGAACAAATCAAACAAAACAGTAGCTGAAATAAATCAATGTAGCGGAGAGGAAAATTTAAAAGCCTATTCAATTTGAGCCTACAAATATGCAAGTGGTTTGATTGGAATCCATGCAGATGAGACATCAGTAGACATTAGATGAGTTGAGGCTTAGAATTTTTTTATCCACTCTCTTTGCAATACTCGTGTAATAGCCATTGTGCCACATACAGAGGATCAGGAAATACATTTGTTTCCTCTAGGAGCGAGCCCCTTTTGAGCGCCTTTCTTCAATATAATCTTACTTAACCAAAAAAAAAAAAAAAAAAATATTGGTTAAACTGCTTTCATTGCATTTGACAAATTATCAGTCTGAATTGGGATTATTAATTCTTATTGAAGCCTTATTCTCCAGGTAAGGAACATAGGTCCAACTGTAACCAGTTTGCAACAATCACACGAGAAATCAATACAGTATGTAAGGCAATAAATCCACATATTTTCCACTTTGACGTGTGTTGAAAGAAAAATAAAGTTGAAGAGAGACATTAAAAAATGAAGAACACAAGAATATAACGTGGTTCAACCACTAGGGCTTACATCCACGACACACAAAGCCCAAAGGGCTATATCTCTTTCATTCCATTCTCTCTTCATTTTGTTTCCAATAACCACCTCTATTTATAGGTGAATTGGGGAAGACTTGTAGCTAAAATAAAGGAATTACACAAAAAGTCAAATACAAATATGGCAACAACTTGTTGCCCAAGTATAGCAACTTAACATTCTGTCAAGGAGTGATTTGAGGGCTTAAATCACTCGTCTAACTATTCTCCAACACCCCCCCTCAAGTTGGTACACAGATATTTAACTCGAGTGTCCAACTTGAAATTAAATATGAAGTTGTCGAGAGTCTGAGATGAGTTGATCCAAAGATCCGAAGATCCGAGACGAGTTGATCCGAAATTCCGAGATGAGTAGAGTATAGAGTAGGGTATTATAAACCTGCTCTGATACCATGTTGAAAAAAAAATAAAAGTTGAAGAGAGACATTAAAAAATGAAGAACACAAGGATATAACGTGGTTCAGCCACGGGGGCTTACATCCACGACACACAAAGCCCAAAGGGCTACATCTCTTGCATTCCATTCTCTCTTCATTTTGTTTACAATAACCACCTCCATTTATAGGTGAACTGGGGAAGACTTGTAGCTATAATAAAGGAATTACACAGAAAGTCAAATACAAATATGGCAACAACTTGTTGCTCAAGTATAGCAACTTAACATTCTGTCAAGGAGTGATTTGAGGCTTAAATCACTTATATAATTACTCTCCAACAATGTGCAACCTTGTATACCAAAGAATAATAGGATAATTGGATTATGCTTCGTCTAGTTAATAGCAATTCCAATTGATCACTAAGAAGGGAGCATCTTTTAATAGTTTAATGGATTAGTCTTGAGAATATATGACTATCATCATAAGGGTTCACCATAAACCTTGAGCATACCAAGTAAAGGCTTGCCAAGTTCAAATTTTTGCCTAAATAGGTTTGGCTGCTAGGGGTTCATAACTTTAGAAAAGGAGTAAAAAACACTGAAGATCCTAAAACAATGTAGCCATTGTTCAACAGCACCCTAGTGCTATTTGATATAAGTTATCTCATCCCAAACAATGATATACTTATGTTCCAGATAATTAGAATGGAGGAACAAAAGACATTTAATATTATATCTACAGGTGTATTCTTGGGATGTGTTCCTCTTTTGAACGCTTTCTAACACATTTACTTATATTAAAAAAAAAGGTTAATAATTCATCTACAGAGGCAATGTTAGTATAGTGAAATGAATTCTTGCACACAATTGTGAGATAACCAACATCATCTATATTAATAGAAAGTTGATAGGAAATGCTGCAACTTTAAGGTAATGTTTCAACTTTCATGTATCATCTTCAATTGAAGAAAAGGGTCTTAAATTTAAGACCATGTTATTCACATTCGAAGCTCTAAAGCAAGCTATACTAGTTATAAAGGCCTTTCCATGCAAGTAAAATTATCACATTGCTGCACACTTTTTCAATCTACATTCCAAATAACATCATTCTCAAGAAGCCGTAGGTATCTTGAGCCATATTATTTCTATTTTCATGTCTTTCATTGCCAAGGCAACTTTAAGAAATCAGTGTGGTTCCGTACCAACTAGTGACTTGAACCTTCCAATTAAAGAGAAATTAATTGGTATTACACACTTAAAAATATAATATACTACATACAAGTGTAATGTATGATGCTATTATTCTTTAAAAAGATGCTCATTAATAATTTACACTTCGAAGGGAAAAGCGCCATAAAAAAAATACTCCTTTTTTTTTTTGTTTTTTTGATAAGTAATAATTGAAACAAAAAGGCGCTCAAGAGGGGAACGCACCCCTTATACAAAAGTGGAACCGGGGTTTAAGGCCCCAAAGAAGCCAAAAAAATAATTAAATCTTCGGGAGAGGAACTGGACTTCCTCTTCACATAACTGAAAAGAGAGCGCATGATGTGAAGTTTCAGAATCGCAAAAGACGATTCTTTCCCTTCGAGCATTCTACTATTCCTCTCCTTCAAAATGCACCACCAGACACAATGTGGTACACTCTCCAATAATCGCGAACAGCACTACTCACACGGCATCCTCTCCAAATACGAATCAAATCCTTAGGATAACGAGGCATAACCCAACACATACCAAACAAACAAAAGATAAGATTCCAACAATCCCTCGCCAAAGGACAATGCATGAGAATATGAGCAACTGACTCACCATCTTGTTTGCAAAGGCAACACCAGTTAACAAGACAGTTGCCCCTTTTCCTTAGATTATCAATCGTCAGGATCTTACCCCATACAACGGTCCAAACAAAGAATGCCACCCTATTTGGAGCCATAGAATGCTAGATAGTCTTCCACGGAAAATCAACGATATCAAAATCAAAAAGACATAAGAATAAGGATCGAACTTCGAAGTGACCATGGGAAGAGGGGATGTCATGTCATCACAACCTCTGCCAACTGCCTCCTGTCGATACAGCAAATCTAGAAAAACACATACCTCGTCCAGCTCCTAATCCTTAAAAGAGCGTCGAAAGTGCACGTCTCATGGTTTCATGCAATATTGCATGGTGACCCCTTAGGTATTGGCCGTAAAAAAATAACCATTATCTATAAAAAGTAATGTTGATAATCCCAAAATACCCTTTCATTATATATACACAATATAATATATGTATATAATATGTAATATGAGTTTTTCTTCGGTATCAATTTTGAGTTTTTCTTCTTCAATCATTAAGGATGAAGGATATGGATGACCAATTTGGGTACATTTGTCAGATACATACTCCACACCCATACCTACGTCATGTCATGTGTTGAGTGAATAGGAGAACGTGTAACACAATACTATTTGGTTGTCCTTGTACCTAGTCACTGGGACAGTCAAAATTCAAATTAGGTTATTTAACAACCGGGGCATGATTGAGTTAAGCTAAAGTTTAATGGCTATAGAAATGTGCAACAATGCACCAACTCTAGCAAGGTTTTCTTTGGAGCCAAACCTGCAATTTTCCAAAGGAAAACGCATTGCCCGTGTCAGGGTGCTTACAGAAGTGCCATCCAAAACATCCATAATACATGCAGCCAATGAATATATATCATGTCTCCTGCATTTCGAAATTTGAATATGTTTGTGTGTGTGTGTTTGTATAGATACGTCATACATGCAAACTTACTACCACTGCTCTTTCTCTTTTGCTATGGTGGTGATTCCTACTACAAGTACAACTCAATGTGCATGCAAATTAAGAAAGGGTGGAGCCAGCATGGCCCCAGGTCGGACAGGTGCCCATACCCTGACTAAATCATCATATTTAATGACGTCATCATGATGACGTCATTCTCCACTCACATGAAATAGTTGGACACATCCAACTTTCGAACTACTTATCATTATTTTTTCTGTAATTCTTTATTTCTTTTCTTTCTTATACTTCTTTTTTCTCTTTATTTTTCTTTTCTTTCTTTCTTTTCAAATAAATTTGCGTTCTCTTTATTCGGTAAAATCTTAAATTTTTTGAACAAGTTATTTTGACCATATATGCTTAACAATAGTCTTCTAAGATTAATTATATATAATTAATATACCTGGTTCATTTAATTATTCAATCAGATTTCAGTTTTTTTTCCTTCTATCATCACAGCTGAAGTCTGGATGACCAATTTGGGTACATTTGTCAGACACATACTCCACACCCACACCTAAGTCTTGTCATGTGTTGTTGAGTGAATAGGAGAACATGTAACACAATACTTTTGGTTGTCCTTGTACCTAGTCACTGTGACTGTCAAAATTCAAACTGGGGTATTCAACAACCAGTGTATGATTGAGTTAAGCTAAAATTTAATGGCTACAGAAATGTGCAACAATGCACCAACTCTAGCAAGGTTTTCTTTGAAGCCAAACCTGCAATTTTCCAAAGGGAAACACATTGACCGTGTCAGGGTGCTTACAGAACTGCTATCCAAAACGAGTACAACTTAAAAAATCTCTGAAGAGAAATGGACAACAAAGTCAAAACAATCTCCCAACCTCTCCAACAGTATCATTTCCTTCCCTCTCCACATTTACACAACAACTCAATGCATGCAACCCCCTCCCCCTTTCCGGTATATAGAAAGATTGGTTAACTATTTGATAAAGCAGAACTATCTGCATTTTTGCTAACTTTAACTCAGAGGTCAAATGATTGAAACTTGGCCCTATTATCCAGGATAGAAAAAACAAACATAAATAATTTGTGCAGCAGTCTTACTCATCTGTGAGTAAACTCTGCCATGCATGGAAATAGAAAAGCTTTTTGCTTTTCCAATCTGTCAGGTCAACAGAATTTGAATTGACAAATTTCATAGAACCAAACTTCTTCTTCTTCTTCTTTTTTCCCCACTAGTTTAGACTAGAAATTTTAAAAGTTAGTAGTGTTAGTTATTGCATCCTACTCATGGTTGAAGGAATTTGAAGCTACACTCAAGGGTAAATGCATAATCTTCTACAAGGATAAAAATGTAATTTAGCACATTGATACACTCACCAAATAAGACATGGTGAATGCATGATTAGGCTTTCGAATTTCTACATGTTTTAATTTGATTTGATTCCAAAATATTTTCAAATATACACAAAAGTGTTTTTGGAAACTTCCTGTTCTAAATTTTTCAAAATTAAACTGCAGTAGACTTCAATCGAATCGAGGGCCACTGGAGTTGTGTCGATCGATCGACGTACTCTTCAATCGATTGAGCCCTGTGAAAATTCAGTTGTCTTTTGCAATCATGCTAGGGAAGAATACCATACAACTCATATATGCAAACATATTCATACACACAGCTTTGTTGTGAGTTCTAGAGTTGCATCATATTTTCAATTTCTATTCATGATACTTAGTAATGGTGAGTTTTTTTTTTCCCTAGTTGGTACTCACACACACTTGCCTCCACCGAGGTTTAAACCCCTGACCTCCCTTTTGGAGGTAGGAGCCTGGTACCGCTAGGCCACTAGCCTGTTGGTGTAATAGTGAGTTTTCTTCACTGTGTTTTCACATCTATTGCTGTGTATTACAACTAAAGAGTTCTACATAATACTCAATTCATCGCTCAGAGATTTAATTGGATGACTAGTGGCTGATCAATCAGAGGAGCAAAATCTGTATCGTATGCCTAAAGGCTCAAGGAAAGTTTGGTGGATCAATATGTGTCAAAGATGTATCGAGGGATTTCTAGGGTTTTTGAAAACTATAACATAAGTACTAATCTTTCTTTCTCATGTTCGATTTGCTAGCTTATAGACTAAGGAATGTTCTGGATGATATCATTTCGGAGTCTCAGAATGCTTTTATTGGTGGGCGTCAGATTCTTGACTCAGCTCTTATTGCTAGCGAATGTGTGGACACGAGGCTAAGGAGCAGTGTCCCAAGGGTTCTTTGCAAGCTTGATGTTGAGAAAGCCTATGATCATGTGAGTTGGAAGTTTCTGTTGTATTTGATAGAGAGAATGGGGCTTGGGGACAAATGGAGGCATTGGATTGAAGCCCATATTACTTCAACTAGATTTTCAGTGATGGTCAATGGGTCTCCGACTGGTTTTTTTGGTAGCTCGAGAAGTCTGCACCAGGGGGATCCATTGTCTCATTTTCTATTCATTATTGTTATGGAGGTCTTGAGTAGGTACTGTAGGTTAATGGGGAGGGCGGTGGAGTTGGGTTTTATAAAGGGGTTCATGGTTGGTGGCGATTCTGCTCATCACCTGGAGATATCTCACTTATTGTTTGCGGATGATACTTTGGTGTTCTGTGAGGTAGAGGTGTCCCAGATGAGGTACTTAAGGTCGGTGTTGGTTTGTTTTCAGGCGGTCTCAAGCTTGAAAGTGAATGTAGGGAAGAGTGCTTTGATTATAGTGGGGGAGGTGCATAATATAGGTGAGTGAGCCTCTGTTCTTGGATGTGGAATTAGTAGTTTTCCAATTACATACTTGGGGTTACCTTTGGGAGTTTCTTTGAGAACCTTGGGTGTTTGGGATCCGGTGGTTGAGAGGGTTCAGAGGAGATTGGCAGGAAAAAAGTAGTAGTACTTATCGAAAGGAGTGAAGGTCACTCTTTTGAAAAGTACGCTTTCAAGTATTCCTACATATTTTCTATCTCATTTTCAGATTCCATTAGTGGTTGCTGTTTCGATTGAGAGGCTTGGGGTGGTTTACAAGGCGAGTTTAAGTATCACCTTGTCCATTGGGAGCAGGTTTGTAGGCTGATTCAGTCTGGAGGTTTAGGGTTAAGGAGGTTGGTGCAATTTAACAGGGCGCTCCTAGGTAAGTGGTTGTGGAGGTATGGAGTGAAGGCTGTGGAGGAGGGTTATTTTGTGCCGGTTCGGGGGGGGGGGGGGGGGGGGGGGGGGGAATTGGTGAGGATTCCTGGTGTTGTATGTGTTTGGGAAATCCATTAGAAAATGATGGAATGAGTTTTCAAAACACATCAGATTCAGAGTTCAGGATGTCTGCTTTTAGGAGGATCTTTAGTGTGGTGATTGTTCTTTGGCTTGTTCTTTTCCCAAATTGTTTAGGATTGCTGTTGACAGGCATGCCTCGGTTGTTGACTGTTATCGGCTTGATAGCGGGAGGTTGACTTGGGATGTGCGATTTGTGCGAGCTTTCCAAGATCGGGAGTTGGACAACATTTGTGGGTTGTTAAAGCGCCTGTATCGGCATGAGAACTGTGGCAAAGGTGGAGATTCGCTTGTCTGGGTGTTTTTTGCTCGGGTAAGGTTTGGAGTGAGTTCATTTTTCCGTTGCCTCGCAGACTCTATAAGGATTACGTTTCCATGGAAAACAGTGTGGAGATCTAAGGTGCCACTCAAAGTGGCTTTCTTTACTTGGACAGTGGTGTGGGGAAAGATTTTGACGCTTCACCAATTTGAGGAGGCGAAGACAAATAATAGTTAACTGGTGCTATATGTGCAAATGTAATGGAGAATCGGTGGATCATCTTCTTTTGCACTGTCCAGTGACTTTTGACTGTTGGTGTCTTTTGTTAGGCATGTTTGGGGTGTCGTGGGTGATGCCTAGATTTACGAGAGGACTGATGGAGGCTTGGAAAGGATGCTTTGTGGGAGGTCAAGCTTGTGGGTTTTGGAGGATGGCGCCGTTGTGCTTATGGTGGTGTCTGTGGAAGGAGCCGAATAATAGATCCTTTGAAGGAGAGGAATCCTCGATTGTTGTTCTTAAGTCAACTTTTTTTAAAAAAAAATATTTAATTCATTAAAAAAAAGCGTTCAAGAGGGGAACGCATCCCAAACAAATTACAAAAACCTGGGAACCCTAAGGCCCCAAGGAAGCCAAAAACTCAATAGTCTCCTCAGCAGAAGAACAGAGTCTACCCGAACCCCAAAAACAAAAAGAGCTAATAACAGAAGATTTCATAACAGTGATAGAAGATTCCTCTCCTTCAAAAGATCTTCTATTTCGCTCCGTCCACAAACACCACCAAAGATATAAAGGCGCCATCCTCCAGAACCCTCGAGCCTGTGCTCCCACCCAACCCCTTCTCCAGGTGTCCATCAGGCCTCTCGTAGATCTAGGCACGACCCAAAAAAACTCCAAACAAACCTAGCAAAAGGTTCCAACAATCAACCACCACTAGACAATGCAAGAGAAGATGATCAACCGACTCGTCATTGCACTTACACATGCAACACCAATTCACCATGATAAGCTTTCTCCTTCTCAAATTATCCAATGTCAAAATTTTACCCCACACAACCGTCCAAGCAAAAAAGGTCACTTTCAATGGCGCCTTAGTGCGCCACACAACCTTCCACGGGAATACCACCCCATCCAAATCCACTTGGCATCCGAAAAAAGATCTCACACTAAACATTCCTATCCACCGCAATCCTAAACATTCTAGGGAAAAACATGCTAATGTGCGGTCTCCACACCACACATTCTCCCAAAACCGAATCTCCCAACCATCATAAACTCTGAATCTGATATGCTTAGAAAATCATTACATCCCTTCCATATGGCTTTCCAAACACCTACCCCTCCAGGCATAAACACCATAGCCGAACACCCCCCTCCCCCCTTCTTCTTTTCTCCAAAACGACACAATATCACCCTCCTCCACAATCTATCCCGCTCCATGCCAAACCTCCACAACCACTTACCTAACAAGGCCCTGTTAAAAGGCAACAATCGCCTAATCCCAATTCCTCCAAACTTAACAGGCTTGCACACCTGCTCCCAACGAACTAAATGATACTTAAACTCATCCCCCAACCCTCCCCATAAAAAGTTACGCTGAAGTCTTTCAATACAAGCAGCAACCGAGGACGGAATCTGGAAGAGGAATAAAGAATACATGGGAATGCTCGACAAAGTACTTTTCAACAATGTAACCCTCCCCCATTTTGATAAATATTGCTTCTTCCACCCCACAAGCCTCCTCTCCACCCTCTCCACCACTGGATCCCAAGCACCTACAATCCTCGAAGAAACCCCCAAAGGCAAACCCAGGTAAGAGATCGGAAAAGAACTAACTCCACACCCAAGAACAGAAGCTAATTCCTCAATCTCCGAAACCTCACCCAATGGAATCAAAGCACTCTTCCCCACATTCACTTTCAACCCCAAGACTGCTTGAAAACAAATCAACACCAACCTCAAATATCTCATCTGAGACACCTTAACTTTTATTACATCTTTATGCTTTTGGCGTTCCAGAAGGCATTGTTCCTCCCTGGGGGAGACAATTGATTTTATTTCTTCCTTGGGTCCATAGATCCTTTTGTTGCTCATGGGACGCGTTCCCCTTTTGAACGCTATTTATTGAATTTGCTTAATTATCAAAAAAAATATATATATAGATTTGCCTGGACTAGGTCCCATGATTTTTTCCAGTAGAATTTTTCACATAAAAAATCATCTATGCCAATTATTTTACTGCATGCATGAGTGATCGATCAACTGGTCGAGTAAACTTAAATTTATATTATGATTCAAATTTTTGTTAAGTTAGTTTAATTTAAAAGTAGTTAAAATTCGGTAATCCAATTTAATAACCTATTCATCCCCCCTCTAGGTCTAGATCACAGGCCTAGCAGGAATCTCCTTCAGAGTCTAGGGTTTCGGTATAAAATTACACAATTAAACATTAATTTGACATAAATAGTTGGTTTATCTGTAGACTTATGTAAATGAATATATACCTCATAGAACAATTCCGTTTCTTGTTTCGACCACCTTGCAACGGGTGTTTTGTCCATAAAAGACTGATAATTATAATAGGTAGAGTTCTCCAGCACTGAAGGTATTGTTGGTTCAACATCAGATATCTTTTCTGAAGCAAAGGTATTGTCTTCATTATAGTGGCCAAAAGAATTACTAGCACTGCATAACAAAAATTATAACCAAAATTAAAAATCAATAGTTGACATATGACATTGGAATAGTGTTCAACTGGTTCCTAAGAGCAACAACTGTGCCAGCTTTAAGACAAGCAAAGTATCACAACAATAAAATTGGGTATGGAAATGTTGCAATCCAACCAAGCAACCATGACAGACATGAAAAGTTGGGGTGCCATTATGTTATCACATTCAAGGTTTAATAATGCATGACAACTGAATAGAGAAGGACCTCTGCAATTCTACACAATCAAGATGACTTCTTGCCCCACCATTCAAGCTGGCTATCTCATTTATAAATTAAAACAGTATTATATTGACAAACTTTTCACCATTTGCCAACATTAATTCCAATGTACTTCACTTTATAGAGTCGATGACAGGGGAGAGCGAGAGAGAGAGAGAGAGTAAAAAAATTTAGAATCCTAAAATACACTTTTGTTATGCCAAAAAACCTAATGTCTAAGATAAGAAAGGGATGCTTTGCCACTTATCAAATAAATAAAAATATATGCATAGCAGTTTTTTTTATGCATGATACATCTAAATCCGTTTTTTATGCATGATGCATATAAATCCATTCCAATATAATCAGATTTTATGAACATAGAGTATTCACAGAGTGTAATCAAGCAAACAACTTACCAAACATATACATTGTTAGGTCGTAGGACTTAGGTTGGTTAATTTCATTCAGAACTTGGAGTCAATGTTTTTATTTTAGCTTTTGATTACTGTTTCAAATGCTAGGTAAGTTAGTTAAGTTACCTATGTCATAAAAGTGGAATCCGAAGCTTCAAGCTAGGGAAAAAATGTAAATGCAACTTGCCAAAATTAAAGTACATGATTCATAAGCATTAATGTTTTAAATGTATTAGGATTTACAAATACATGTTTTAGTTTACAAAACTCCGCATAAAATTGTTGATGGAAGTTTTCATTTTCAAAATCCAAAGAATCCAAAAGTAGATAACTTTGATGGATCAAGGTATCCGTCAATGGAGTAATTTTGACACATCAAAGTCAAAATTACTTCAAATTGGGTGAACCTGCATGAATGAGTTCCCATATAAAAAGGCAATTTTATGGCGATTTGGAATTCTGATCTGTAAGGGCACACAGATCAAGGATATTATTATATTTAGATGTATAGATAATGAGGTGGGCAAGTCTTTTCTGGATACGGCTCAATTGCCTCGCCTCGCGACAAATGGTGAGATTGATTCCTTCCGATCCAGAGAGGGTCACGTTTTTAGGGTTGATGCTCATAGTACGTTGGCTCGGGAGGATATGCTGAAATCGGGTCTGGTTGGACGATTCAACAAAAGATGTAGGTTGTATCGAAAGGATTGAGGAGTGGGCATCAAAGACGTGGATGATTTCTTGTGGGTTGAGGGTGACATCTTTGCCGGATGGTCTTCTTCTGTTTAGATTTCCATCAGAATTCGAGGCACACAGGGCTCTGGTTTATGGAAAGAAGATGTGGGGTGATGCTTGGTTGTCAATGGATGTGTGGTATTTCGTGGTTGGCTGCTCAGCGGTGAGGTTGAGGAACCGGAAAAGAAGAGTGGTGATTAACGGGCTTCCTTTACATCTATGGTGTCACAAGCTCTTTAAAGCCATAGGATATCTGTGCGGCGGATTTAGCGAAGTGGAGGCAGATATCTCGGCTGACGGAAATAGAGTTGTCATTCTCGTCTCCAACGGTGGTGTGATACCAGAGGTGCTGTTCGTTGAGGATCAACGGGTGGCTTTCAAGGTTGTACTGATAGAAGAAGCAACTCCATGTATTCTTCCGAAGACGTTTATTGGACGACCTGGTGCGGATCTTTGTCGGGATAAGAAGATGAGGGGAGGAAAGCGCCGTCTAGCCATGGCAAACGGAGCTACAAATCCAGCTTTCAGGCCAACGACAGAGACGCGTCAGATTCACGTCACGGAGAGCGACTTGGGATGAGAGAGAGGGTACGTGTGTAAGGCCACATGGGTGTATCAGAGATAGGATTCAGCAAGATATTTTTGATGATGGTGGGCCGGGGCATGGACCTGGCTCATCTAATTTTACTGGTAGAGGAGGGGCCTGTCCACAACAAGGCTTTGGGCCTGGGGCAGCCCATAGACAAGCGTGGTTTGCTGGGCCAGTGGATACTTCCTTAGTATGTGATGCTGGTGTTGGGCCTGATAGGCTTAAGTTTAATGGACGGTTGGGCGTCTTGAAGATACTCAAGCCAGTAAGAGGGCGATCCAGTGGGGATCCAATAATAAAGGGCTTTCCATTTCTTTACTTGGGTTATCCACCTCTGATGCTGTTACGAAGGATAGAGATAGGAAAATTGTGAATGATAAAGTGTTTACAGCTTCACAGAGAGAGAAGAGGATATTGGCACCTTCGCTGCAAAATGGGTCTAAGGGTAGACATTGGTCGACGGCAGAGAAGAGTAATTAGGTAAAGGTTAGTACAAGAAATACTGGGCTGGGTGCAAGAGGGAAGAGTTTTCAACGTGATATGTGCTGTCAGAGTGTTTCAGAGAACAAGTTCGGGCCTCTCTCTTCAGTGGCTGAGGTTTCTAATGGGAATGGCCAATCCGATGCTTCACAGTGGCGTCATGAAAGGCGTTGGTCACGCCATGAAAAACAAAAATGGGTCATTCATAATCAGACGGAAGGTGGACCTGGTATGTTCCATTCTCAGCAATCTCAAAAAACTCTTTCTACTCCTTCTTCTGCTTCTACTCCTTGTTGGGTGTTGAGGGGGGTGGTGGGGGAGAATAATCGACTTTCGCCTGTGATGGAAGGAGTGGTGGATGATGAGGAGAAGGATGGGTGGATGATGAGGAGAAGGATGGGTGGATGAACGGAGGTGGGGGCCTCGGGTTGTCAGAAAGGGATGTGACGCCAGGGGAGGATGATTACAGAGGTCTGACTCTGAAAAAAGCTGATGGGTGACGGTTTGTGTGGGAAGAAATATGAGGTTCAAAATTGGTAATGAAGATGCCTCGGCTCTGGTGAAGGAGCTACATACTTACAAGGCGCTGAATGGACTGAACCGAATTTTGGATTTTGGTTCCGAAGCAATTGGAGAGGACTTGGATGGTTACTTACGCTCTCCTACTTGTAATGGAGTGGGTAGCATTGCTGATGAAGACGGGTGGGATACAGAGGATAATGCGCTCTTTGACAGGGAGTTGGTCTCATGGGAGGGGGCTGAGGTCCTGGAGTGTATTCAACCACTTCCTGGAGTGAAGGATCAATGGGGTTTGCCGTGGTGTGTGGGGGGGGGGGGATTTCAATATTGTTAGATCCCCTAGGAGGAAGATGGTCATTGGCTATGGAGCAATTTTCTGAGTTCATTGACGGTTACCACCTGCATGATCTACCGCTAAAGGGAGCTAAGTTTACATGGGGGAGTGGTAGAGAGGCTCCTACCTTGTCACAATTGGATCGTTTCCTTCTCTCGGGAAACTGGGAAGAGAAGTTTCTGGACGTGGTACAGGCAGCTTTGGCTAGACCGACATCTAATCATATTCCTGTGGTTTTAGATTGTGAGGGATTGAGGACGAGGAGTACTCCTTTCCATTTTGAGAATATGTGGTTACAGGCTAAAATTAAAAGGTGGAATAAGGAGGTGTTTGGGAATTTGGAGTGAAGGAAGAATAGGGCATTTGCGGAGATTGCCAAGATTGATAGGCGGGAAGGTGTGGGTGGCATTGATGAGGGTTACAAAAGTAGGAGGGATGCGTGTCAGAAGGAGATTGCAGTGGCGGAAGAAATCTCGTGGATAAGAACACTAAGTTTTTCCATCGCCTTGCAAATGCCCATAGGAGGAGTAATCACATTGGGAGGATTACAATTGATGGGGAGGTTCTAGTTAGGGAGAAGGATGTATGCAGGGGGATTGTCTCTTTTTATCATGGTTTGTTTATGGAGCCTTATTTATGGAGACCCCAGCTTGATGGTCTGCAGTTTGACGTCATTTCTAAAATTAATAGAGATGATTTGGAGAGTACTTTTTCTGAAGAGGAAGTGCTGAAGGCGCTGAGGAGTTGTAACGGGTACAAAGCACCGGGGCCGGATGGTTTTACTATGAGATTCCTCCTGGAGATTTGGGTTGTGGTTAGGGGAGAGGTGATGGCTACATTTCATGCCTTTCATATTCAGGGGAGGTTTAAGAGTTCCTTAGTGCATTGTTAATTGCACTTATTCCAAAGAAGGGGAGAGCTTCGAATGTTAAGGACTTTAGACCTATTAGTTTGTTGAGCTGTATTCATAAATAAAAAGCTAAAGTTCTAATATTAAGATTGAGGGGTGTTCTGAATGATATCATTTCGGAATCTCAGAACACATTTATAGGTAGGCGTCAGATTCTTGACTCAACTCTTATCGCTAGTGAATGTGTGGATACGAGGTTGAGAAGTGGCGTCCCACGGATTCTTTGTAAGCTAGATGTTGAGAAAGCTTATGATCATGTGAGCTGGAAGTTCTTGTTGTATTTGATGTAGATAATGGGTTTTGGGGATAAATAGAGGAGTTGGATTGAGGCTTGCATATCTTCAGCTAGATTTTTGATGTTGGTTAATGGGTCTCCAACAGGTTTTTTTTTTTTTAGCTCGCGAGGTTTGCACCAGAGGGATCCTTTGTTATGGAGGCTCTTAGTAGGTTGATGGGGAGGGCGGTGGAGTTAGGGTTTATAAAGAGGTTAATGGTGGGTGGGGGTGATGCTCATCATATAAAGATATCTCATTTATTGTTTGCGGATGACACGTTGGTATTTTGTGAGGCTGAGGTGTCCCATATGAGGTACTTGAGATCGGTGTTGATTTGTTTTCAGGCGGTTTCAGGCTTGAAAGTGAATGTAGGGAAGAGTGCCTTGATTCCAGTGGGGGAAGTGCAGAATATTGGGGAGTTAGCCTCTGTGCTTGGATGTGGAATTAGTAACTTTCCGATTACATACTTTGGGTTACCTTTGGGAGTTCCTTCGAGGACGGTGGGTGTTTGGGATCCGGTGATTGAGAGGGTACAGAGGAGACTTGCAGGGTGGAAGAAGCAGTACTTATCAAAAGGTGGGAAGGTCACTCTTTTGAAAAGCCCGTAATCAAGTCTCCCTACTTATTTTTTATCCTTATTCCAGATTCCATCTGTGGTTGCTTGTTCGATTGAGAGGCTCCAAAGGAACTTTCTATGGGGTGGATTATAAGGAGAATTTAAGTATCACCTTGTTCGTTGGGAGCAGGTTTGTAGGCCGATTCAAGCCGGAGGTCTTGGGATAAGGAGGTTGGTGCCTTTTAACAGGGCTCTCCTTGGTAAGTGATTGTGGAGATTTGGAGTGGAACGTCATAGGCTGTGGAAGAGGGTTATTTTGTACCGGTTTGGGAAAGAAAAGAGGGGGTGGTGTTCGTGTTTGGTGAGGATTCCTATCGGGGTGGGCGTTTGGAAATCCATTAGGAAATGATGGAATGAGTTCTCCAAACACATCAGATTCAGAGTTCAGGATGGTAGGGATGTGAGGTTTTAGGAGGATCTTTGGTGTGGTGATTGTACCCTTGCTTGTTCATTCCCCAAATTGTTTAGGATTGCTGTTGATAGGCATGTCTCGGTTGCTGATTGCTATCGGCTTGATAGCGGGAGGTTGACTTGGGATATGTGGTTTGTGCGAGCGTTTCAGTATTGGGAGTTGGACGATATTTACGGGTTGTTAGATCATTTATATCGGCTTGAGATTCGTGGCGGAGATAGAGATTCGCTTGTTTGGGTGCCTGCTTTGTGGGGAATGTTTAAAGTGAGATCTTTTTTCCGATTCCTCTCAGATACTACAGGGATTATGTTTCCGTGGAAAACAATGTGGAGATCTAAGGTGCCGCTTAAAGTGGCATTTTTTACTTGGACAGTGGTGTGGGGCAAGATCTTGACGCTTGATAATTTGAGGAGGCGAAGACAAATCACAGTTAATTGGTGTTGTATGTGTAAGTGCAATGGGTAAACGGTGGATCATCTTCTTATGCATTGTCCAGTGGCATTGGCTTGTTGGTGTCTTTTGCTTGGAATGTTTGGGATTTCGTGGGTTATGCCTCGATCTACAAGAGGATTGATGGAGGCTTTGAGAGGGTGCTATGTGGGAGGCCATGCTTGTAGGTTTTGGAAGATGGCGCCCTTGTGTTTATGGTGGTGTTTGTGGAGGGAGCGGAATAATGTATCTTTTGAAGGAAATGAATCCTCGATTGTTGTTCTTAAGTTAGCTTTTATTTCATCCTTATGTTTTTGGGGTTCGGGTAGGCTTTGTTCCTCCCCGGAGGAGATGATTGATTTTATTTCTTCTTTGGGACCATAGGATCCCTTTGTTGTCATTGGGACACGTTCCCCTTTTGAACGTTTTTAAATAAATTTGCTTAATTATCAAAAAAAAAGAAAAAAGAAAAAAGAATGAGTTCCCATATAAGATTTAAACACTTGCAACCCCAATCCTTTTATGCATCTAAACTCGACATAAAGACCTTATGGTTTCAGAAAATAAGAGGCATCTGAGCAAGCATCACATTACTCAACCATATACAATCATATTGACTGCATTCTAGCAACCTTTTTTTTTCTTTCCTAGTTGAACAACGCACCCCCCCCCCCCCCCCCCCCCCCTTTCTCCAAAAATAATAATAATAAAAAAAAATTTGCTTGCACTCTTAGAGTTGATGCCTTCATGAGGCACCAGGGTCAGATGACTTACCCACTTGAGCCAACCCCTTGGGGTGCATTCTAGCAACTCATGCTAGAATTTTCTTTCTTTGTACATTCATCAACTAGAGACGATGTATGTTATCTGAGTGTTGAATTTTAGAGATCCTAGTGCTACAAGGACTTTTTAACACAGGAAGCATCTTCTACACATATACATAAAATGTACATCACTAGTCAAAGATATCATTGTGCAAAAGAAGAAACGGGTCGCATGAGCAGTAGATTCATTGACTAGAAGCAGTAGAGTTCAAGGAGAATGTATGGCCAGAGTTTGAGTGAGAGGTAACTGGAGAATTCTTGGGCTAGAGTCTGGTTAGCCTACCGTGTAATACCTTTTCTCAATTGATCTATTTAGACTAGGTCTCATGGAATTTCTTTATTGGGTTTTCCATGTAAAAACCGCGTGTTTACCTTATTTACTTGCTCTATTTGTGCAAACATGAATAATTTTTTCATGCCTACTAGTTAGTTGAAATTCAAAATATCATTATTAGTAGCTTAAAATTTAAATTTTTGGTAAAATCTGTGAATACACCTTTCAACCCCCCTCCAGGCTTTGGTCAAGATTTTCGGATACACTGACCATCAGAGTATAGGGTTACGATGAAAGTTCATCAGAAAATAGACCCTGTTCAAAGAATTTCAATACCTGTGATCAGTTAATGGTGTTTCTGATGTTGTCACCTCCTTATTCTGCACCAGGAAAAAAAAAATAGTAGTAAGAAAATTAGAGATGCTAAAATTAGCAACACAAGCTACTAAGGCTATGGAAATGCTATGCAAAGGAAAAAAAAATCATGACTATTCCAATGGAGAAAAAAAAAAAAAGAATTAACAAAAATAAATTAATGCATATACTATTTATCGATCTATGTTACATGGACTCGAGTATGTGTATGGATGTGATTGTGTAAGCGTTAAACCTCCATATTTTCCAAATCTCAGGACACAGGGACTTGCCTGAAATGTTTCTAAGTGTTAAGTGTGGTTATGTAGACACGTGACACGTCCAGCACATTTAGGAAAGATGTTATTATTCTTTAAGAATATATTCAATTAGAATCTATTCTTGGAAGATGATAGTCGTGACAGCTAATATTAGCCATATTTAGCTCCTTTATTTAGGGATTTAATTATCATGATTGCTGTAAGTTAGGGATTTAATTATTATGATTAACATAAGTTAGGAGCAGATTAGGGAGCAGATTAGGAGCAGGTTGTAGGGATTACTTTTAGGCTTTCTTTCCTCATATAGTCTCTCTTTCCTATATATACTTGTACAAGATGTAAACATATTAAGAAGATGAAATATACAGAAAATTTTTCTCCAAAAATCAACATGAATAGTGTTGAGAAAGAGAGAAAAGAAAAGGACGAGGGATTTGAGTGTAGTGTGAGTGGATCACCAGTCTGAGCGATTACCACTGACCTTTTCTTTGACAACATCTTAAGGCTTCGATTCTTCACACCATAGACACGAAAACATGTCTGAGGTTACCTCTAAATTTCTGGTTTTCTCCAGCCAAAGTATTCTCAAGCCCAGGTAAATCAAATGATGAAAGATTATGCTCAAAAGCTATTCTAAAAATATGTTTCCTGTAAAACAACCAATACACGTAACCAACCAATACAGGTAACCTTGGATTAGCCTTTAGCACTTCTAGCGATGATGAGTCATCCTGGATTATAGATTTGGGTACTACTAATCACAACACGTGAATCTAATTTTTTTTCTTATAGCAATCATCCTAGTACAAAGAGTTTCAATACAGCAAATGGATCTACTTCTATTGTGTTTGCGGAAGGTTCCATTCCTCTAACTTCTTCTATGTGTCTCTCTACTGTCTTACATGTTCCATGTTTAACAGGTAACCTATTGTCCACTAGTCAGATTACTAAGGCTCTTAAATGTTCAGTAACATTCTTTGATACTCATTGTGTTTTTCAGGATCTTCTAACGGGAGCGAAGATTGGTTTTGGTAGAGAAAGAGGTGGTCTGTACTATTTGGATATGAATTGGGCTCCAGATGGAAAAACAAATCAAGTTGCGGGTCGGTCAACATCAGAAGAGCAGATTTGGTTATGGCATAAAAGATTAGGACACCCTCATTTAGCTATTTGCATAAACTGTTCCCATCTTTACTCTCCAAAGTTGATGTTTCTGATTTTCATTATAGTTGAGTGTTAGCCAAACACGATCGAACTTCTTTTCCTTCAAGTTCTAATATAAGTTTTTTTGCCTTTCTTAATTATTCATAGTGATGTGTGGGGGCAATCCTGTGTTCCTAACAATTCAGGTTCTAAATGGTTTTTTCTTTTATTGATGACTTCACTCGTGTTTCTTGGAGCTACCCGTGGAAAGAAAAGAGTAATGTTTTTAACACCTTCCAATCCTTTCATCAAATGGTCCTTACCCGGTTTAACACGAGAGTGCAGATTCTACAATTAGATAGAGGGGAGTATTTTAAGAAGGGTCTTCTTGGGGTATATTTTTAGGCTCATGGCATCATTCATCATATTGATACACCCCAGCAAAATGGTGTAGCCCAGCATAAAAATCGCCATCTCTTAGAGGTAGCTAGATCATTACTCTTTGCTATGAATGTTCCTAAATCCTTCTAAGGAGATTTTGTCCTTACAGTAGCATATCTCATGACTCATGACTCATTACTCTTTGCCCCATGGCTCACGAGCCTTATTTTTGGTTTGTTTGGAGTCCAATGAGTTATGCCTCAGTCTTCGAGAGATTTGATGGACATTTGGACAGGCTGCAGCATGGGGGCCCATGCCCATGATATTTGAAGGGTGACTCCCCTTTGCTTTTGGTGGTGTATTTGGAAGGAGCGGGGGATGGGGAGAAATTGTAAATCTATAAAAAAAATTGTTGATTTCTTGGGTTCCTTGAGTCCTTAGGACCTTTTATTTGGCTTTGGCCCCTGTATAGTCTTCGGGATGCGTTCCCCTTTTTAATGCTTTCTAATACTACTATATTCTTACTTATCCAAAAAAGGGGGGGGGGGGGGGGGGGGAGTCCTTCAGTTCCAAATCCCTGTTCGGTCCCTATCCAAAAACACACTCTATTCCATCTCTTCTTCATATCCCACCCAAAGTGTTTGATTGTGCCTGTTATACTTATATTCAGAAACAACACCAGAGTAAGTTGGATCTGGAGCACTCAAGTGCATTTTCTCGGGATACTCTGCCACACAAAGGGATACAAATGCTATCAGCCTCCTCCAGCAAAGATGATCGTTTCTATAGATGTTATTGTTTCTATAGATGTTACTTTTGTTGAAGATCAGGCTTACTATTCAGTGGGAGATTCAGACGCTTCTCTTCAGGGGGAGAATTTGGAAAATCAGGAGAAGTATTGGGATGTGCTGCCACTTCGTTTAACCAGCATATCATCATCTACTGGAACTTCTACATTGACTTCAAAGGAATTCCTTGAGCCACACAGATTTGTAATACTCAAGAAGGGATAAGACACATACCTCTCAGCCACCTCTTCATTAACCAAATGACCAATTAGACGCTCCTATAACAGGTAATCCTGAGGTAGTCCCTTCTCCTGAACTCCCTAATGATACTCCTATTGATGAGTCAACTCGATTACCTATTGATCAACTTGATCAAACACATGATGATACTGAGTTAGTTCTTGAGAATCAAGCTCGTTATCCCACTCAGGAAAGAAAACCTCCCTCTCGTTATGCTTTTTCAATTGTAAAATATCCCATCGCTAATTACGTGTCTTCACATCGTTTATCTTCATCTTATAACAGCCCAAGGACCAATTAGACACTCCTATGACAGGTAATCCTGAGGTAGTCCCTTCTTCTGAACTCCCTAGTGATACTCCTATTGATGAGTCAACTCAATTACCTATTGATCAACTTGATCAAACACATGATGATACTGAGTTAGTTCTTGAAAATCAAGCTCATTATTATTATAGATATTGACCCAAAATAGAGAATTTGCCCCAAATTAGCCCCAAAATAGAGAGTTTGAAAATAAATTTAGTATGTGTCTTCTTGAAATTTAAAAAAAGTTCTACTTGAACCCTTTTAACTATGCTTTTAAAAGCTCGAATATTGTCAAGAAACTCATTATTATTATAGATGTTATTGTAACACATTGTTAATTTATTTAAATATACACGTGTACAATATCTATAATATTAATTCAAGAAAGAAAAAAAAAAAAAAAAAAAAAAAAAAAAGGATAAAAATCACTAATGTTCCATCATGATTAATAAAAAAGCTTAAAGCATTTTTTGTCAAACATTTTTGTACAATGATATCTACAAGAAAAATATCTAGAATTATATAGCAATCTTTATTGACATCTTGTTCAATTTAAAATTATTTTGTTTAGTTAAAATTCATTATTTTTTTTCTTATATTTTATCTAGGTATATCTTTCCCAAGTGAAATCAAAGTACTCGAAATTTTTCTTCCAAAAATTAGATTTTGAAATATTGAAACAGTTGATCAAGAAATTTTGATTCTTTGACAATACTTATTTCTGTACATCTTCTCTTTTTTATTTTAACTCATCGTTTTTTCTCTATATTTTCCTTTCTAATATCAATTTTTCGTCTATTATTAAGTTGTATTTTTCTGTTTAGTATTTATAAAAAAATCATATTACAATTGATTTATAATAATTTTAAACTTTAGTTACATAGTACAAATCCGGCCCCCCCAACCTAAAATTTCTGGCTCCACCCCTGCTCATTCTCGACTTGACATAGCATATGCAGTGAGTGTAGTAACTTAGTTCATGCATGCTCCTTGTGAAACACACATGTTGGTTGTACACAAGATTCTTAGATATTTAAAATCTGCTATTGGGATAGGTCTATTATTCTCCAACCTTAGCCATCTCGAAGTGGAAGGGTATACAGATGCTGATTGGGCAGGATCTATAATAGATAGAAGATCAACTTCAGGATACTCCACGTTTATGGGAGGTAATCTTGTCACGTGGCGGAGCAAGAAACAATCTGTTGTGGCCACCTCCAGTGCTGAAGCAGAATTTAGGAGCCATGGCTCATGGTATATCGTCTATGTGAGAAATTGTGGCTGAAGGCTTTGTTAAAGGAGTTGGGCTTAAATTTTAGGGATCCGTTGAAGCTTTTGTGTGATAACAAAGCTACCATTAGCATTGCTCATAATCCAGTTTAGTATGATCGTACTAAGCATGTTGAAATGGATAGACACTTTATCAAGGACAAGTTGACACAAGGATTAATTTGCACTCCGTTTGTGAAGACAGAGAATCAGCATATTTTGACGGAAGTGTCAAGCAGGACTTTTAATTTAGCACTTGACAAGCTGGGCACTCGAGACATCTATGCTCCAGCTTGAGAGGGAGTGTTGGAAGATGATAGTTGTGACACTAATATTAGCCATATTTAGCTCCTTATAGGGATTTAATTATCATGATTGCTACGGTATAAGTCTGGAATTTGATTAGTATTATTGCTGTAAGTTAGAAGCAGATTGTAGGGATTTGTTTTAGACTTTCTTGTACACGATGTAAACATATTAAGAAGATGGGGAAAAAAAAAAAAAAAAAAAATTCACCATCTATATTAAATGGAATGATGCGAAAAAAGAGAGTGGGGTCTTCATCTATTTGCAAAACAATCTGCTATCAAATTTGAATATTTTTTCTTCCACCATCATCACATGTAGAGAATTGGATTGTCTCTTTGTATTCATGTGTCAAACACATATCCTAAATTCATACCAATGTTGTCTCATGTCAACAACAATTCAATGAGGGGAATAGGAAAGTCCATGTAACACAGCAACAGAGGATCTAAGATTTGCTTCATATAACCATGACAATATATATATATATATATATATATATATATATATAAAAGAATGATTGGCATGTACTACCATTCGCTCCCGGTGCTCTGCAAGCAGAATAAGATCCCTAATACGCAACTTCTGGAGGTCAATTTCATCCTCTGGAGTTTCAAGCAAAACCTTGTCCACTATAAAACGAAAGGTATTTTCAACACAATTGAAAAAATTCATCATGCCACTGAAGTTTAACACCCAGGAAATAAAGTTACCTCGTCTTTTATTTTGCCGAGTAGAGTGAGAGAACTTTTTAGGAGGCTTTTTTGTAGATTGAACTGTTACCTCATTGGCCTTGTTATGCTTTCGAGCAGGCTTATTTTTCTCAGCAACAGGTTTCTTGGACTTCCTTGGCACTCTTTTATTTCGGGACTCATTTTCCACATGATATTCAGTGTCATTTTCATGATCTTCATCTATAACAGAAACATTAGTACCCTCTGCAGGGAAGTCCGCATCATCATGACCCTCATCCTCAGACTCATCAACAAGTTCACACACATTGATCCTCTTTCTCAACTGCCTCGCTGATCTGCGGACCACATTCTCTTGAACAGATGAGGAATCATTTTGGTGTTCCACTAAAGGATCTGATATCGTATTAGTTTTTCTTTTTCTATGGTTAGCCCTCTGAATAACCTAACTCAAAATTATTGTTCAAAAAAAAGAAGAAACACACACACAAAAAACGGCTAGGATCAGATAAAAACAAATAAACAGAATAATTTATTCAAGTTAAACAAAAAGAACCACAAAAGTCGAATGTCATACAACTTCATCAGGCATTTCAGATTGAGAAGTCCCCATAAGATTTGTCGGTTCTTCATTCACCATGAGTTCAGATGTAGGATCTGCGGGAATAGCATCAAACCTCAATGGAGGGGAAATTAAGAACATGATCAAGTGGGAATGCAGGGATTGAGACCTCACCAATGCATTCAACTTCAGAACGAACCGACTGAGTATCCTGGGGACATGAAACACACTCAACTGCATCTTGATCAGAGATTCTAGCTCTAGATTTCTCCTTCTCAATGTGTACCTTGGGCCTAGATTGAAACTTGCCAGTCCACCATCCTGCATTCAAGTTGGCCTCAGTAAGAAATTCAACACAGTTAAATGAAGCAAAACAAACAATCAGGAAAGGTGAAATTTGCATATACCAGAGCTAGTGGTTAACTCGGACATAATATCTAGATTATCCAGGCAAGGAAACACCTCCAATTCCTGAAACAAACCAAAGATCAAACCAAATTAACCCCATAACTACCATTAATGAGATAATAGAATGGCTATATTATAACAAACAAGAAGAAACAAAAAGAATACAGGTCTTCACCTCTGTTTCCAACCTTTGATCATCTAAATAAAAATCTCCACCACTATTAGAAACAACAGCCTCTTCACATGATAAAGGATCTAGGCCCATGGAAAGTTCAGAACATGTATGCGCTAGCACGGCATTAGATGGCCTAGAGGTTGAGACATCAAAGGGAGAAACAGCGGGAATACCGAGTCCCTTTTTTGTGTTTCTGGTATCAGAAACATTAAAAATTGCCATGTTTGACGGCAGCACAGAGCCCTCTGCTTCGGCATTTACAGTACATGGCGTTGAGAAGTTGTTCTTTAGTTCAGCATCCATGTCTATTGTTGAAAGAGAGAGAGAGAAAGAGAATATATGAAAATGTATATATTATTGAGTGAGTAATACAATAATACAATGGTGTTTATATAGGAAAAGCTACAGGAATAGGTGCGTGGAGAACAAGTAAACCCTATACATGGTAATTCTATATATGGTAATGAGGGGTAGGTGACAAATCATACAATACTAACTATACACGTGTGACAACTCATACAGTACTGCACAACACTCACCCTCAAGCTGGAGAGTAAATGTCAATAACTCTCAGCTTGCTACATATGGAATCAATAGCGCCTTAGTGAAGATATCTGCTAGCTGCCTACCAGAAGAAACAAAAGGTGTAACAATCTCATTCGAGTCAACTTTAGATCGAAAGAAATGGCAATCTACTTTAATGTGTCTCATGGTAGACTGGATTGCTAGCAATATGAATAACTGCCTGATTGTCACAATAGAGAGGAATTAGGTACTGGATTGAAATTCCAAGTTCCTGTAAAAGAACTTTCAACCAAGTAAGTTCAAAGGCAGTGTATGCCATGACACGATACTCTACTTCGGCACTGAGCCATAACTGATTGTTTCTTACTCACCAACTTACTAGATTTCCTCTTATGAAGGCGCAGTAACATGTGGTGAATCGTCGATCAGAAAGAAAACCAGCCCAACCTGCATCTGTGTATCCCTCAATCCGAAGATGTTCAAAACATCGATAAAGCAGACGACATCCCGGAGCACCCTTAAGATACTTCAAGATGCGTACAACTGCCTCCATGTGAGGTACCCGAGAACTGGTCATGAACTGGCTCACAACACTGGCTGCATACAGATGTCTGGACGAGTGATTGTGAGGTAAATAAGTTTACCTACAAGTCTCCGATACATCTCTGGATCATCAAGTGGGTCACCATTATCCACCTTAAGTTTTACATTAGTCTCCATGGGTGTAGCTACAGATTTCGAACCAAGATATCCAGTATACTTCCGCTGAGAAAGACTAATGCCTTGCTCCAACCAAGCCACCTTAATTCTTAGAAAATACCGAAGTTTGCCCAAATCCACGATAAGGAAGCTAAAACTCAAGTGATAGATTAGAACTTGTATCCCATCTTTGTCACTGCCGATGATAACAATATCTACATACACCACAAGAATCACAATACCACGTTTCGTTTTTTTAAAAAAGAGAGAGTGGTCATCCTGGCTTCTGGTCATACCATGAGCTACCACTGCTCTACTGAACTTATCAAACCATGCACGAGGGGACTATTTGAGGCCATAGATAGACTCCTTGAGATGACACACACACTACCCCTTATACTCAAACCAAGGTGATTGAGTCATATAGACTGCCTCTATAAGGTCACCATGCAGAAAGGCATTTTTAACATCAAATTAATGAAGTGACGTATCACACAAACAGAATTCGGTTTGGCCACAGGAGAGAACGTCTCAGTATAATCAAGGCCATAAGTCTGAGTAGCCTTTAGCAACAAGTCGAGCTTTGAGACAGTTAACAGTACCATCAGGCTTCTTAATAGTAAAAACCCAACGACAACCAACAACCTGAGTATCAACAGGCTTAGGAACAAGGTCACAAGTATGATTCAATTTTAAAGCGTTTATTTCTTCTTCCATAGCTTTCCTCCACCCTACAAGGACTTAGGAAGAGCAATAGAGGATAACGACAAAGAAAAAGATTTAAGGAGGACGACAATTTATTATACGATACAAAATTGGAGATAAGGTGATTGGTACAAGACTGTTTACCTTTCCGAACAGCAATAGGTTGATCAAGATCAGAGTGCGCAGAGATGGAAGAATCTCCATGCGTTGAAGCGACTGGTGGAAGTGGCAAGGCTGGGTTTACTACTTCAATCGTTGGAACATGATTAACTACTCTTTTTCGGTGACGAGCAAAGACACTGCCGAAGCTTGATTTAGCCCAAGCTAGCTTGCCGTGAAGAGCCGATCAGAAGTCAACAGAGTGATTTTTTCGATCACAATGAGTACACTTCTTGCTGTCACAACCCCCTCCGTCGCCACGAGTACCACGGCCTGGGTTGGAAGGACCTCTGTCCCCTCTTCCTCCACGAAAAGTATCATATCGCTCAGTAGGAACAACAAGAGCAGAGTGGTTGTCCTTCTCAATCACAAGGGCATGAATAGATGCTATTCGAACTCTAGCAAAAGTCTCACTTGTTGTGGATATCTCCCCTTGGCAGACAAAATCTGCGAACTGATCGGACCAACTTCGGGTTTAAGTCCAGATAAAAATTTTGCCACCCGAAACTCCTCACTGTGCCCTTTTTGTTGTTTTATGTCTGTAGTCAATGGTTGGTAGACATTCAATTCTTCCGACATGCCCTTCAGTTTTGAGTAAAAATCTTCAACAGATGATCTCCCTGCTGAAGATTAAAAATATCCTGATACAACTGATAAATTCGAGAAATATTCTTCTCTGAAGAACACATGTCCCTAAGATTTTCCCATATATCTTTGGTAGATTCTAGGAATGACACGTTGTTGAAGATCTCAAGCTCCAAGTTGTTCCATAACCAAGTCCTAATCTTAGCATCTTCTTTCTCCCAAGCCTCAATAATCTTTTCATCACTGGTGGATCTGGTTGATTTAAGATAGGATAGTTTTCCTCGAGCCCATAAGAACACCTCTACGGCTCGAGACCATTGAAAGAGTTCGAGCCTTCCAGTTTGGTGCTGGTGACTGACCCAAAAAGATGGGATTCCTTAGTATTTATCACAAGAGATGCCGAACAAATGAGATGCAGGAGCCGAGATAAGAGAACCAAGATCTAGCCGGGTTGAACCTGAGAGAAATTATCGAGGAGAGAGTCAAGGAGGGATCCAAGAGAAATTGCTGAGACGAGAACTAAGATCACCAAGGAGAGATCGTCAAGAAGAGATTACTGAGAGAACGCCATGATGGAATCAAGATCGGAGAGTCTGAATAATACTAAAAAAAAATATTTAAAGAGGGATCGATTTCCGCTCTGATACCATGTTGAAAGAGAGAGAGAGAGAGAGAGAGAAAATATATGAAAACGTATATATTATTGAGTGAGTAATACAATAATACAATGGTATTTATATAGGAAAAGCTGGGAGTAGGTAAGTGGAGAACAAGTAAACCATATACATGGTAATTCTATATATGGTATTGAGGGGTAGGTGACAACTCATACAATACTAACTGTACACGCGTGACAACTCATACAATACTAACCGTACACATGTGACAACTCATACAATACTAACTGTACAACGTGACAACTACAATATTATACAACATCTATCTTAGGTGGAGACCTATTTGCATTGGTCACTGCCAATGTAATACACAAAGCACTCTAGTAAATTCAAGCAAGGCAAAGGGATCTAACAACAGCTTAAAAGGCATTCAGCTACTCACCTGTTCCAGTGGTAGATTGAGAAAGAAATTCATTAAGAGATTCCAACCCAGATAATACGTCTGCATTCTGAAGATAATGGGACTTACAAATCAGATGGACGCAATACACCATAAACATGAAATAGAAAAACAAATATTTACCTCTCCTATTGATTTTGCACCAAAGCCATAATGCCAATCTCCTTTGCTTTCAGCCATTACAAAGTGTGATTGCAAACCATCTATGGGGCCCACACTCTCTCTAACCGCAACACACTCTAATGAGGGGTTCACTGGTTCAGAGTTTTTATTGTCATCAGAAGAATGAACTCCTAGTAAACAGTCTTTACAGTTTTCCAGCGGTTCTTTAGTCCTGAGAGCCTCTGAGGTAGACAAAGATGAATACAGATCAGTTGATCCATTATCCGCAACATCAATAGTCTGAACTAATTGTGTGGAAGTAACTGACACCACTGAACCACTTCTTGGTCGGGGTTTGGCCTTAGGTTGGAATTTGACACCAGCCCTAGCTGCAACAACATTCAATATCAACAATTCAGCCCTTTGAAGCAAGAAAACCTCTTCATATAAAACATGTTGACAATAGTACAAAACCATTACTTACCATTCTTCGTAGCATGGTCAGGAAGGATATCATCAAAAGGGTCCAAATCAAACACCATCGGGACTGCCTCAACCTAAATAGTAGTTCTGGTTCAAAGAACTAATATTTTAAGTAGATGCAATACTATAAAAGAGAGCTCAAATCTTCAAAAAAAAAAAAAACTTGCTAATTCTTCAAAGCTAGAAAAATAATCTCCTTCATAATCTATCATTACAACATCTAAATGCAGATTTTTTGAAAAGACAAAACTAACAAGAGAGCATATCCAAGTGACAGGTTGACTATTGAGAAGACCTCTTGGGGGCCTTACTTTTAAATGAAACAACACAATGCATGATCACTTAAACATAAGACCAGCTAAAAAGACATTGTATATAATTCTAATCCTGGATTTAACGCCAGTGTCAAAATTCAATCTACATAAAAGGGGTATGTACTAGGTCCAAGAGTCCAAGATATTGCAATTGTGGACTCAAATACGACTCAACTGGTATTCACACAAGGACCATAGATAACAATCAGTGGCTGTTTCAGTGTACTCCCGACATACAATTCTTGTATTATGTTTGTAAAGGGTTGAAATTAATTGATTTGAGTCCTACAGTATTTAACACTATTCTTTTTTCGATTTTATGTAATTTTTGTCCAAAGTCAATAAATAAAATTTTAGGCAATTCCTATGAAAGGAGACTACAGGCATTTGTATCACCCCTAATAAATCAATTTAAGATTCTAATGACTCCACATAGATTATGAATTTGTTCCTTTGCGCTATATGGGATAAAAAAATATTGCCTTGTATTTCCATGGAAACGTCTAAAGCCACTTTTTTTATTTACCCAAGTAAACACTATAACCAGTTGGAAGAGAGTGAAGATAGACAGAAACGAGAATGAGAGGGAAAGAGAAAATACAGATTTGGGAAGAAAGAACTTACCCAAGTTGCCAGTGGTTTCCAATAACAGCCGTTCGTTGCAGATGAGAGGCATAGATAGAGAGTTGAGTTAGGTCTTCCAGTTGAAGGGATACAGTGCCAAAAGCGTTTTGCCATTACCATGAATATTATAGGAAGCAGAGAAATGAGTTTTTTCTATTTATATATTTATTTTCACAAAAACTAAATGGAACTTCTGTATTTAAAAAATAAAAACATTTATTAAAACGTGATTTTTTTTTTTCCTTTTTAAAGCCTGATAGCAGAAAACAAAAATTCTGCAATGGCAGCAGCGAAGAATGAAAGAGAGACAGAAATTGAAAGGTAGTGTATTTTTTCTTTTTTTTTTGGTTGGTAGAAACGGCAATGTATTAGAGTTTCTATGGAGTGGATGGTTAGTTTTAGTTTAATGAGTTTTATAATTAATACCAAGTGTGCACCTTATTTTTTGAGTTAAAAAGTGAAATTCTAACCATGTCCAAGCAAGCAATCATCAAGTTGATCTTTTCTGTTCAATTCATTCATGACCGCTTCTTTTTCTCATCTCTCCTATCTCCTATAACTAAGCAGCAGTCAATTCATTCATGAACACTTCTTTTTCTCTTTCAAATATTATCCTCTCCTCTTCTATATCCTACAACTAACCAATAACAGAAATCATCAAGTTGATCTTTTCTATTCAATTCATTCATGACCGCTTCTTTTTCTCTTTCAAATATTACTCTATCATTTCTCCTATCTCCTATAACTAACCAGCAATCAATTCATTCATGGACGCTTCTTTTTCTCTTTCAAATATTACCCTCTCCTCTTCTATATCCTATAACTAACCAACAAAAGAATCGAGAATTAATAGCAATCACTCTCTTCAAGTTGAAATTCCAACCATTTCCAAGCAAGCAATCATCAAGTTGATCTTTTCTTTTGAATTCATTCACGACCGCTTCTTTTTCTCTTTCAAATATTACTCTCTCATCTCTCCTATCTCCTATAACTAAACAGCAATCAATTCATTCATGAATGCTTCTTTTTCTCTTTCAAATATTACCCTCCCCTCTTCTATATCCTATAACTAACCAACAACAGAGTCGAGAATTAATAGCAATCACTCTCTTCAAGTTGAAATTCCAACCATGTCCAAGCAAGCAATCATCAAGTTGATCTTTTCTTTTCAATTCATTCATGACCGCTTCTTTTTCTCTTTCAAATATTACTCTCTCATCTCTTCTATCTCCTATAACTAACCAGCAACCATTTCATTCATGCACGCTTCTTTTTCTCATTCAAATATTTTTTTGACAAGTAAGAACTAAATAAAAAGGCGTTCAAGAGGGGAACGCATCCCTTATACCTTTTTCTCTTTCAAATATTACCCTCTCCTCTTCTATATACTATAACTAACCAACAACAGCATCGAGAATTAACAGCAATCACTCTCCACGCCCATCTACATCATCCTCCAGGTCTAGGTTTCCCTCTCCCTCTTCAATTCCATGCTCTTGTAGATTTTTTGTGGAGGGCTCATAGTAATATAGCTACCTTATCTCTACTCTTGTGAAGATTGTCCAATCTTTTGGTTCTACATTAGTATGTTCTTGTCTAAACAAATTTGTTGATATCTTTGTACGAATGGTCTAGTTTCCAATCTTCGATATCTCTAAACACCTCTATGACAAACAACGCATGTTGGAACACTCCAAATAAGATTCATGATAGAAGCTTCAGTAAAACCGAGTAACTCTGTACTTATGGTTGTTAAAATGGCGATTCTAACTCGTAGAATCGTGCGATTTTGTGATCCAACATGCCCAAATCGATCCGAATCGCAGGAAAATCGTGGCTTGTGCAGAATCGTGAGTTGAATCGCCGGGATCGCAGGTAGAATCGTACGATTCTATACGATCCCAACGATTCTGAATTATCCATGATTGTGGTCTTGTTTTAGGTTTAAGAGTTGTGAAGAAGCCCTAAATTGATTACCACAGTGCAACAATTCCTTCTCTTTCGCGGCCTCAGCACAACTCCGAGAGGAGATAAGATGCAGAGGACAAAAAGAATGCTAGGGTTTTGGTGAAGAAGAAGCAGAAGAGGAGGAGAAAGGGAACAAGAGGCTAAGAGAGCTTACCGAAAAAGACGAGAGGAGCTGTCACTGCCGACTGGGGAATTGGAACAGGGGAACGTTCGTCGGGAATTTTGCTCTCTTCGTCTGCTGCTGCCGCTAGGGACTTTTGCTCTCTTCAGATGGGCAAGCCTAAATAAGATTGGTCTTGGGCCTTATACTTTTCTTGTGCTCTATTTTGTTCTATTGTACAGCTGGGCCAAATGGGCTTTGCAAACTTCAAGTTTTTGAAGCCCAATGTAATATTTACATTTATATAAAATTTGTCTTATATTCTAAAAACTAAATAAATAAATTAAATTTTAAAAGAATTGTTGATAATTTTATATGAACGTATTCATATAAAATTATCAACAATTCTTTTAAAATTTAATTTATTTATTTAGTTCATATAAAATTATCAACAATTCTTTTAAAATTTAATTTATTTATTTAGTTTTTAGAATATAAGACAAATTTTATATAAATGTAATATATATATATATATATATATATATATGTGTGTGTGGTTTTTGCTCATTTTTTATTTTTTTTGAAGATAATTTTTGTTAGAGAAAGTTAGTTTGAGTTGTATTTTTATTAGTTTAGTAGAATCTTACTATTTAAGATCCGATTCTACGATTCCGATTCTACGAAATCCAAAACGATTCTCGGTAAAATCCCGATTTTAGCAACCTAAGTAACACTATTTAGACACACACACACACACAAAAATAAAATAAAAATAAAAATAAAAATAATAATAACAATAATAATAACAATAATAATAATAATAAAAGAGTAACTGCTAACTATTGCCAAGCTTGTCCTCATCTTTTTCAGTAACATTATACATCCTTAGAAGTGCATAAAATCCGTTAACAACTCACCCTATGGAGATCATATAGGTGCTGTCAGAAATAATTTCTTCATAGTTCTCCAATTAATGGTGGACCATCACCGACTATAAAGAATCCCAACTCACTAAATCATAAAGCATTCACTAATTTTTATATAAAAGACACATGAAAGGCTGAAGCCCACAAAAATAGAGTTGTTCAATCATTTTAACTTCTTTCATAGTTTTGTACAAAATGCACCTTATTGGGGGGTATCAATAATAAATTGTAAAAAACAACCCAAGACTTGAACATCTCAAATAAATCATGACTAGTAAGGCCCCAAAAAGAAGTGTTCTGCAAAAAGTGTTATCTCCAGAGTTGATAAATTGTCCAGCAGAACTATTATGATGAGCACAAATTGAAGGTCAGTACCGAACCTTTGTCATTCTTAATTGATAGTCATAATTTAATGGTTCCATCACATACTTTTGAGAGTTATTATGCTTTGGAATCTAAAGGTTTGAGTATGAGCAAGACTAAAAATCGAAATTCCATATTAAATGAAAAATAGTTTAAACTGTTGGTTCTATTATCGATGCCCACTACAAACATAATGAACCATATATATATATATATATATATATATCATACAAAATGCCCAATTTCTTTTAGGGTTTTTATTTTGCAAATGAAAAGGGGTTCGATCACTACATGAGAGAGAGAGAATCTAATAGTGAGAGAGACACTAACTTCGAAATTGAGAGCAAAAATCGAAGAAAGATAGAATGGAGATCGTGACTGAGTCTGATGAGATAGATAGACCAACACGTTCTTAATTTATTCCATGTAATTTATTATTTTATTTTTTTGGCAAGAAAGAATTAGTAGGGATTAGTAGAAATTACAAAAAAAATAAAATAATAACTTACACGGAAGAAATTACGAACATGTTCGTCTATCTTAGGGGAGAAATTAAGAACGTATTCGTCTATCTCTCTCATCAGACTCAATCACAAATCTCCATTCTGTCTTTCTTCGATTTCTGCTCCCAATTTCGAGGTTAGTGTCTCTCTCACTATTAGATTCTTTCTTTCTCTCATGTGATGATCGAACTCCTTTTCATTTGCAAAATAAAAATCCTAAAAGAAATTGGATATGTTCTCTTTTAACCTATAATACGTATTAACAATGCATGAACGTTGAAGTAGTCCAGAAAACTGATATAAATATATTTTGGCCTAAGATGCATGTGTTACAACTTACTATTTTTTTATTTCGTTGACTTCATTTATATCCATGTTGATTTGTATTATAGATGCATGGGTAGTCTTGACATTTACACCTGATACATGATATATGAGTAATTGCGGTAAGAAATTTAAGAGTTTTAAAACATGGGCTTTTATATTTTATATTTTTATTTTTTATATTAGCATATACCTTTGTATGTACGTGTTAATGGAGGCATGAGTTATTGTGAGGATTGGTCTGTCGTTTTGAATTTGCATGAGTATTTGACCTTCATTTGCAGCAAGATCATCCCACAATGTTACAATAGTTGTACTCGAGCTACGATCAGAAAGAATTTGTTTATTTGTTTATTTTGGATATATGAGCTAGTAATTATAGGGTAGAATCACTTACTTTGTATATGTTATCATGATACTTCGTATGAAGGAATTGTTAGAAGTAGTGATAACATTGTGTACCTCGATGACCATTCTTATTATATTTGTAGTAAAATATAGATTATAGTATGTTATACATTTGTTTTATAAATCATATATTATATATAAAAAAATGAAATAAATGTTTCCAAAAGTGTAAAGATGGCGTTTTGTCTCATGAATGTGGTTGTCTAGGCTTGCCAAATCCACAAAGCTATATTTGATCTTTGTTAAACATAATGATTTGGAGTCAATTTCCATTGTTGTGTGTCTTGTGAATTTTAACTCATAGTCGTCGTGCACATTTGTATATTTTTTATTCACTGGGCTCACAGTTGCATTGGAAATTATATAAGTTTGATGAAGAGAGATTGAATCATTGAATCTTGATACTTCATCATTGAACAAAGTCGCTTGTATTTGGGTTCCTGTAAAGTTTTTAGACATACAATTTTTGTAGACATTACAACATTTGTATTTAGATAAATGTACTAATACATCATATAATAGTATAAAATAATGTACTTACTTCGTCATCCGATCCATCAGTATTACTTTCAGTAGACTTCCTGTGCTCTTCTGTTGTTGTTGAATTGTTGAATATTTCCTTTGCGAAGGACGATCACATTAATTGTCCAAGTTGATTGTGAAACATTCAACGAACTAACCATGTCTATTTTGCGGCTGCTAGTCATTTCTTTTGTGCTGTTATAAACAAGAGAGGAAAAATTATTTAGAATAGAATAGTGAGTTCTCCTAGTATACATTTTAAATTGAAAAAATAGTTTATCAATGGGTGTGATTGATTTTTTACCTTTTAAAAATAAGACTTCTTTGTATACTATATTTTTTGCATATGTTCCTCTCTTAGTAATATTTTGGTCATCTTTTACCAAAACTTTTGTATTTGACATTGAAGTTCCTCTTAATAACGCCATGTCTAATTGACCATGAGAGAAAACATGTTGAGTTAAGATGAAAGAATTCTGTTACCATTGTTCGGGAAATATGTTCACAATGAATAACATATTCTAGATTCTGCCTTTCCCAGTACGAAACCATTTGTTTATTCGGAAGGTGCAACTGGAGATTAGTAACCGAATGATACATCTTGTTTAAGTTAAATTCGAAAATTCTCCAAATTGCTTCTTGTGGTGATACCCACCTTGCATCTTGATATACTCGTATTTCATCAATCACAAGTTGACTGTCGGTGTTTGATATGTGAATTGCAACTCGATCATGTCCTTTGTAGATATATTTGTAAAGATACTTGATAGTTGTTAGTCCATAGCATATTTCAACATTAGTATGACAATCGTACCTATTTAACGTACGATGAACAATTTTAAGTTGTTTTAACAATTAGAAATCAAAGCTAGATTAATTACAATAGTTTTAACTACCATAATATACGATATTAATGGTGCAAAAAACAAATAATTAATCATAAAAAGTGAAAACCTGTTTAAAAGATATGGATTGTATGGAACGACCCATCTGTTATCTAAATATGCGTTGTGGACAATAACAGATGGACCATTTCTCCTTCTGTATATTGGGTATGAATTGTTCCCTTGCATTGTATGTGTTAGGAGAGATGACAATAAACAAACACAGTGGAATAATTCTTCTCCCTATATACAAGCAAATATAATATATCTCTACTTTTATATGTGCTGAAAGTAATAGAGAACAAATCAATCACACCAAGCCACAAGAACACAAGCAATTTTTTACGTGGAAAACTTCACCAGTGTGAGGAAGAAAAACCATGGGACCTAGTCCAGTTAAAATCTCCACTATCAACCAAATAATGGGTACACAAAGTTTTCTCTAATCGCAATTAGAGGCTACAAAACATCTCATCAAGATAGCAACAATCTTGGCAAAGAACAAATAGAATTGGAGAGAAAAATACCAAAACATGGTTACTGTTCATGGGCACGAATTACTGTTCCCGAGCTCAAAATCAGATCTTCACCATTCAGATTTTAACTCATTGAGTCATGAATCTCTCCTACAAATTTCAGCTCGATCGGACCACGGACGAAGCGGGATCAGACGTTTGATGAAATCTGGGCAGAATAGAAAAACCTGCGTTTTTCTACCAAAATCCGGTTACTGTTCACGGGCACGAATCACTATTCCCGAGCTCAAAATATGATCTCCACCGTTCAGATTGTGCGTCACTGAGTTGTGAACCTCTCCTCCAAATTTCAGCTTGATCAGACCACGGACAAAGCAGAATCGGACATTTGATCAACCTGGACAGAATGGAAAAAATCTGCATTTTTCTTCTCTTTGTTCTTCCACTTGCGGCTAACCTCTCTATCTTTTTATACTAACTTCCTTAGGGTTTTCTTTTCCCTAAAAACTGGGCTTTGGGCTTTTAATAAAACCCACTTGGGCTTTCTTCCATATAGAAGGAAATAAACCCAACAGTATGTTCGGCAAACTGGTGAGTGTAATGATTTTTACATTTCCCTTCCTTCATGCATGGATTTTTTTATTTTTTTTTATTTAGACCTCCGCACGGGCCATGCATCATATGTTTCACGACTTTTTCGTAGAGAACAGGATTTTCAACTTTGTTTGGAATTTCTGCAGGGACAAATTTATCATATTAATCTGCACTGGTCATCTTATACGCAGACTG